TTTATTAGCTGTATGGATAAAGTACTGAACTGGCTTTATTAAGTTTTAGTACTAGTATCATTTTCAAGAAAACATTCTCACGTAATGTCTTTAAAGTTTCTTGCAAATTGCTCGATGTTTTTGTTAGAAAGTCATTAATGGGCCCGCCGACCCTCACATACGGTATATGGAGAGCTTGAAAAGTTATAGTCCGATTTCGATAATTTTTATATATGAGACGCCATACCTTGAAGACAATTTTTGCACAAAGTTTTATCTCGATATCTTCTTTGTTGCTTGGTTTACATATTGCAAAGGGAAGTTATCTGCTGCTTCTTAGAATGGAGTCACTCGAAAGCACCTTTAGAACGGATTAGTCTACTTTTAAACTGTAACAAGAAAATGCCACGAGAATACTATGTACCAAACTTCAACCAACTTTGATCATTTAGTTGCTGAGACATGAAATTCTTTATAAAAGTATGCGGTACCCTGCCTAAAGTTTTTTTTTTTTTTTTTTGTGAAGGGTATTAAAGCCGTTTTACTTTGTTTTTTATAACTCGATCAGGGTAAATTAAGTTTGCCATCAAGTCCGTAACACCAAGAAGCAAATAGCGGTGACCCTATAAAATATATACATAAATTATCAGCATGATGAGCTGAGTTGATTAGACAGGTTCGTCGGTCTGTCTGTATATACGCGTACTTGTCTTTAAGTTTTTGAGATATCGATATTAAATTTAGCATATGACTATTTCTCACCAAGAAGCTGCTCATATGTTGGAATGTCCGATGTCAGAACTTTAAAGCATATAGCTGCCATACAAACTGAACAATCAGAATCAAGCTCTTGTATCAAAAACTTTTTCATTTGACGAGATATCTTCACGAAATTTGGAACGAATTATTATTTAAAGCAATTATAAAGTCTCTGAAGAAATTGTTTCGATCGGATCACTATAGCATATAGCTGCCACACAAACTGAACGATCGGAATCAAGTGTTTGCTTGGAAAACTTTTTCATTTTATGAGATATCTGCATGAAATTAGGCACGAGTTAATATTTAAGGCAATAATGGAATCTCCGAAGAACGTGTTCAGATCGAGTCACTATAGCATATAGCCGTCTTACAAGCTGCACGATCGGTATCAAGTTCTTCTAATGAATCTTTTGTATTTTTGAAGATATTATAGCTTCAATGCAAACGAAGTTAACGGTTTTTTTTTTAAATAACGCCAGTTTGGTAGCGTCCAGCAGCCCGATTTTGTACCACAAATAAAGCAACATCGAAAATATTTTAAATTGATTTCAAATTTAAATCAATTTCTTCCTTTAAAGCAATGATATACTCACGTTTTTTTATACAAATATTATATTTATATTTGGTCACATAAAACGCAAGTGCTATTTCCCTTAAAAAAGTTTCCAACACCAAGAACAGTTGGTTACACATCATCAAAGCGCACGCTTTCAGCCTAATTCACACACGCTCACCTATAAACTCACAAAAACACATAAACGCGCGATGACAAGAAAAATACGTGCGACAACCCTTTGAAGTATCTAAATAACGGTAAGCATTTGTGAGTCATTTGAAGTCACTTAAAAGGCATCACAACTGACACGTTTTCACCGTTAGTCATAAAAAGCCAAAAGTGTTGCGCACAGCCCTTCGCAAGAGCAGCAGCGAAAAGTTGCACAGTTAATGCCACAAACATGCAGAACAAAAGGCTTAGTGCAGTGAGTGTGCGAGAAAATTTTACTTTCTTACCCCACACATATATGAAAGTGTACAACTAGCGGTTTTTAAATGCTGCTTTCTGCACATTTTTCACCAAAACTTGGGTGCGGCAGTGAGGTTGTCACAAAAATTTCAAAAAAATTTTGCAAACTCACATTATGTTGCAAGAGCAACTATGAACGACATAAAGCAAAAAAAAAGGTAAAAAATTATACAAAAAAGGCGTATAAAGTGAGGACTCATGTGTGTCATCAAAAATTTTGAATTTGAAATTTCTTTAGTAAAATGTTACTTATACGCCGTGTGGTGCACACGAGTGAGGTGACACTGCAAATGTAGGCGAATCAGTTGGTTAAAATCACATACATATGTGCGTGTGTGACAAGCCAAGTCATAAATATTTATATATATATGTACAACCACACATGCTGAAATGCATATTTACATACATATAGATATATATTTACAGAGATATACATATATTTATATGTGCATGCATAGCATATATACAATATTTACATACCTAAAACGCTTACTAACGCTTGTGCTTAGCTCTTCAAATATTTTCAAGCATAACTCTTTGTAAAAATCCAACCGCATACACATTCATACAGCTATGGGCGTACACACACACACACACAAAGGAACACATAATCACACATATTCCATATATGCGGTTTATTTACTTAGCTTTTTATGGAGCTTACCAAAAACGGATTCAGCGCCATTTTACACACCCAGCTTGTTTGCGTAAATCTGCATATAAAAATGTACCGTTATTAAGAGTAAAAGTGTTTGCTGAAAACTGTATGAATTTGCTGATGTTCGCATTTTGGTTATTTTTAGACTTTAATGTTTTTGTGCTAATTTTGTGAGGGAATTTCATTTGTTTATTAAAGAAAATTGAAATTTACTTAAGCTGAATATTGCGCGCCTGCCATGAAATAAATTGATATTTGCTCATACAATTCAATATGTAAATAAACTAGCAGATCACTACACTTTGGAGAGAATTGAATATCGAACTATTAATATAATTTATATTTAATTCCGCATACGATCGTTGCGTGAGAAGCCACCTGCGCATCTTAGACGCGCATCATTTGATTTCTTGAGAGTTTTTAAGAAGGCGGCATTTTAATTATTATTTATTAAGAGATTAGATAATTGGCGTTATAGTAAGAATCCTTACATCTTTGGAAATACCTATAATATAGCCTATATACACCGGAGTAGCTTCCCAACGATTAGATAATTTTTCAAGTCCGTTAAGTAGTTTCGGAGCCTTTTCAATTCAAACAATCAAATATTTTCTTCTAACAAAGTCTCCCCAATAAATTTTTTTATAGGGGAAGTCTCATGGAAATTGAAAAAAAAACTACTAAATCAATTGATTTCAAATCTTAAGGATGAAATTATTAATATTTTAAGAATACACAGCAAAATTTTTGAAAAAAAAATTTTTTTTTTTGGGTTACACATGATTTGCGATGGTGCTAAAAAAGGATTCTTCACTGCAGCTGTGATGACGGCTTTCTATGTTTCAAGAAAAACGTGTTTAAAGATGAACTGATAGAGTTTATTGCGTTGAGCGGCTACACTTAAGAAGCTTATAACTCAAAAAATATTTGAAATTTGACTTTTTCGAAATCTCACACTACATGTTTTCTCCGATAATTTTTCTGATAGCTGTCAGGTCTCGAGAAGTTAAGGTTTCCTAAAGAATTTTAATCGAAAAATTAAACAGAGCTCGTCTTAGACACAATTTATATACTTTCTTTTTTTAACTAAAAATCAACGTTGGCTATTGAGGTGTGTAACGATTTCCCATAACTTATTTTCGTGAAAGCTTCCATCCCATTAAAAAAAAAACAAAGTCGCAATTCTCAATTCATCAAATGATCATCCATGAATGTCAATAGTGACTAATAAAACAAACACATGATAAAATTCTCATAAACTTGCATATTATAATAAAGGTTCAATAGAAAGCAAGCGTTTATATCACCTTCAGGGAATACTGTAGTCTAGAGACATGAATTTTAGTTCATTTTTAAAATGTCGTAAAAAAAGGCAATAAATATTTTTACGATCAATTTTTTTATCAGTTATTTATTAATGTTACAAGAATACAGAAAAAAATTCTAAGTAAAACAAAAGTTAAAAATTTAGAAAACTAGCAGCTGATGAAGTGGGGGGTCTCAAAAAATTGGCACATGAGCATACCCATGATTCAACCCTCCTGGTCATTTGAAATAAAAATATAAAAAAAATTATTAAAATAGTTAAACTTGAAATTTGGAGATCGGTTTTGGGGTGATTTCATACTCGAGAGAGATCTATAAAAAATATTTTCTTAAAATTTCAAGTCTATCGGTCTAGTAGAACTCGAGAAATCGTGGGTATCGTACTGAAAAAGTCTGGTTTGAATAAAACGCATTAAAAATTTCGCGTAAAGTCTTTTGTTCGATTGGACCCAGTCGAATCAATTAGGGGGCCGCGTCAGTAAAATGTCTATATCTCTGAAAATTATTTAGATTTTAAAAAACTCCTCTCATAGACACATTATTAAATAGGGAAACTTTGAAAATATGAAAACAAATCGATTTTTTTGAAATTCTACACTAGAATACCCCTGTAATGAGTAATCAGCATAATAGTTTAAAATCAACTAACTTAACAGTGAGAAGAGCATTGTTGAATAAGCTTTAGATAAATTTATTTACTATAAAATATCATAAAAATAAGATTACGAAATATGAAGCTCTCAAGCTTTCTTGATTACATACTTAGTTCTATCCAAAAGAACTAGTTGGATTAAAATTCAAAGGCAAAAGCAAATTTGTGATTGAACCAAGGCGCCTTTAAGATATATGTACATTTAGGATTTTAATGAATTCTCTGCAGTTTTTGCAATACAAGGAACTTACCGATAATTAACAACTAGGTTTGTATACTGAACCTATATAATCAAAAAGAGTTGAAATGTTTGAGGAAATTAAAAAGTTGTTAAAAATTCATCGTTGAATAAATATTCATTAGTAGCTCTTTTTTTAAATAGCATATTTTATATTATAGCAATAAAAATAAATAAATAATAAAAATTTCAAAAAGTTCATACATTCAAAAGCTCCGCTAATCACATTTTTCGATGATAAAAACTTCAAACTAAACAGCATTTTATGAAATCCAATCTCTTAATAACTTTCGAATAGTTTGGTGAAATGTATATAAATTTATATATCATTTATATTATTTTTTTGTGTTTATTGTTACAGTACAATGACTCACTCACTCATGACACTGGACATCTCCGGCAATAAAATGCAGCACATACCGCTGGAGGCGTTGCAGAAATTGCATTCGTTAACGCGACTTGTAGCGCAGAGGTGAGTTTTTGCAAAATTTTTTACTTAAATAAAAATGTCAGATTACATTTTTTTTAAAGGTGTTTTACAAAAAAATTATTTCGTAATATTTTTTTGACTTACCTTTTGTTAGAAAATATGAAACATTTATTTATTTAATGGTTTATTTGACGGTTTTTTTTTATAAAAATAAAGTTTTCAAATTTTTTTTTGGAAAAACTATCGAAATAAAATTTGGAATTATTTTTTATAACATTTTTTTTTTGAAATTCTGAAAAAAATTGCATGAGAATGAACTTTTTTGGCGTTAAAATTTATTTTGTGAAATTTTGAAGAAGTTCAACTTTTACAAAACAATTGTTTGTAGATTTTGTATAAAAATCTGTGAATGAAATACAATTTTCTTTTATTGTGGACAAACTTTTGAAATAGTCCCAATCGTTTCATCATTATGTATTTTCGAAAATCCATTGATTTAAGTTTGTTTTAGTTTTTATTCAAACGTAAATCTATTCAAGATTATTTTTTCAGAAGAATAATTGGACACATAACACTTCCAATACCAATTTTTCATTTGCAATTGAAAAATATAAAATGAGTAGGCTTTTAATTTTTAGTTATAACTTTTAAGCTCCAGGACTCGTTCAAATTACCTGTCATTTAGATTGATGAGATGAATATATAAAAATGTGTACTTGATTACTAACAGGATTCTATGATATTAAGACTGTTTCTTGCAAAGGCTTGACGCTACTTCGATTCTGGCATTCCAAAATTTTCAATTTTTATGCATGAAACGGTACTAAGTATTTACGTGAATTATTAACAAAACTTAGCCACACATACTTTTTATGGTAGCATACTACTGTCTTCCGACAACTTACTATTGATGAAACTGCCTGTTTCACCATAAGCCAAGTTAAAAAAAAATTGGTCAGCGATATGATAGAGGGCTTTTAGTTCCTATAATTTTTAATAAATCTAGCTGAAATATTGATTGCTTGAATACTGTTTTTTATTCTACTATCAAATAACCTTCTACAAAATCTTGAAAGAACTTCTTGGATTCACGCCATCGATTCAGCTTAGCAGTTATTACCATAATTCTACCCGAGATGTCAACTCATTTCTTCCTTAGCTCAGCAATTGGCCGTTTAATTTTTTACATAGACTTTGTTCAGAACTTTGAGATGCACTTATTTCGCTTCAGATGAACCAGTAAATCCTTTGGAGAATTTGAAATTTATAATGAAATAGCTCAAAAATTTTAAGGAACCAGTCGTCGCTTTTCCTTAGAAAGTACCCTTGTTTGGCAATGCAGTGGTCAGATATAACTCTGACATTACCTAGACGAGCTATCGTATAAAAGAGTTCAACTTGAATTTATTTCGTAGAAGTTTGCCTTTACCAGTGCCCCATGTGTATAAGTCTTTTCATAACGCTTTCTTGAGTTGTTACTTCTCATTTATATATTTTTAACGATTAATTCACAATATTGGAACATGTCGTTGCATTTCTCCCAAACCCATTTTTTTTTTCTAATATTATATTGTAATTCCGAATGAAGCAAAATATTTTACCTGTACATGTTTTGCACTTCACTTACTCACTTTTTCTTCACTAAACGCTGCCAAATATATATAAAAAAAGGAATCACATAACCACGCTGGAGGGCAACTGGGAGGCGCTCTTCGATACGCTGCGCTCGCTACACCTCTCCGGCAACGATATCACCGAGGTATCACCATTTGGCCTGCACGAAAACGCCAACGGTTTGATAGGCGGCAACAGCGGCGTCAGCAGTCATCCCTCCAGTTTGGCGGCCATCACGCGACATGATGAGCTGGCCACGACGAAAAGTGCGCACAATAGCGCGCGTAATACGCTGACGGAACTCGGCAGCGTTGCGGGCCACACGCCGAGCACTAGTAATCACATTGCGCCCAGTAAACCCTTCAGTCGGTTGCAAAAGTTACTTTGGCTAGACTTGTCGAATAATCGCATCTACCACATAGCGCCCAACTTTCTGCCACGCTCGCTGGTCACCATCGATCTCTCGAGTAATCTGCTCACCGTTTTTCCACAACAACTATTCGAACATCTACATGGGTTGCGTATTGTGTCGCTGCGTGACAATCTGTTACGTAGCGTGCAGACGAAAGAGCTGCGACTCGTGCGCATGCGGCTGGAGAAGCTCGATTTGGGTATGAATCTGGTGGAAATGCTGGAATCGGACTGGTTTCAGAACAACTACTCGGATGTGCATGTGCGCGCATTAAATCTGGAGAAAAACTTCATACGGCAGCTGCCACCCGCGGTCTTCAAGGGCACCGGTATTGTGCACCTAGTGTTGGCTTTCAATGCCATCGAGCGCATACATGTGACCGCCTTTGAAGGTATCACCGAGACGCTGGAGTATTTGGATTTAGAGCGTAATGAGCTTAACGCTGTGCCGGGCGCGATTAGCACGTTGCATAAACTGAAGTATCTATACCTCGCTTCGAATAATATCTGCCAGTTAACTAATCTACCAGAGAACACAGAGAATCTGCGCGTGCTCAGCTTGAGCGGCAATAATTTCACGATGATACCGGTGCTGGCGTTGCGCAACTACACACAGCTCTCATACCTCAATATGGGCTATAACCTAGTTTCGGATATACCGGAGGGCATTTTCGCCGTAGATAATTGGGGCGCCAATCTGCAGACGATACTGCTGCGCAATAATAAAATCACACACTTGCATTTGGGTTCCTTTTATGGTTTGGAGCAAATACAGGAAATCAGTTTGAGCTTCAACGATATCAACATACACCATCCGTTGGTATTTGAGAATGTCTCACGCACTTTGAAGATACTTGAACTTTCCTTTGCGGTCTTCCCGGCACGCAGTCTGGAGTCCATCGATCCACTCGAAGCGCTGCTACCGCTCTCCCAGCTGATGTGGCTCGGTTTGGACAATAACAATCTGAAGACGCTATCTAATGAATCTTTTGCATATATGCGCGAACTGAGCTATATAAATTTGGCATTCAATCAGCTGAAGCAGCTGCCGCGCGGACTCTTCCTACCTGACGTGCACAGTCATTTAGTGGAGATCGATCTATCATACAATGCTTTAGCGGTCATCACACGCAATACCTTCCACAGTTTAGGTGATTTACAGACGCTCAATTTGCAATCGAACAAGCTGAAGCTACTTGAAAAGCATGCCTTTCACAACTTGGAGTTTCTGCGTTACATCGATTTGTCTTACAATCAGTTGGCGAATATTTCGCATGGTGCATTCACGATTCTGCCCAACCTTGCTGCTCTGGATTTGATGCATAATAACCTCTGTACGCTCTCGCTAAAAATGTTTCATTTCGTCTCGAATACGAGCACGCCACTGCGCCTCAATGTCACCTACAATCAGATTGCGCACTTCGAGGACGAACTCAGCTCGTATATGTATATCTACAATTTGGATATTAGCCACAATGCGATCAGCAAAACAGAGAGCTTTGCGAACCTTGCTAATACGCTGCGCTTCCTCAACCTCGCGCACAATACAATCGGCAGTCTGGCCAATCACGCCTTCGGCGATCTGGAATTTCTTGAGATACTCGATCTCTCTTACAATAATATCACGACCTTGCGTCGACGCAGTTTTCAGGGCTTAAACAGTTTGCAAGAGTTGGATCTCAGCTACAATGGGCTCGAGCAGCTACAAGTGGAGCAGTTCTCGAATTTACGTAAGCTGCGCATACTACGCGTGCGTGGTAATCGTTTGCGCGCGTTACCCCGTGAAGTCTTCATGAATACGCGTCTCGAGTATTTGGATATCTCAGAGAACCAGTTGTCCGTGTGGCCGGTGCCGGCCTTCTCTGATGTCGGCTTTACGCTGCGCAGCATACAGATGGCGCAGAATGCGCTAGAGTATTTGGACTCTAGCATGTTTGTAAACTCTCAATTCCTCTATGATATCAATCTGGCTTGCAATCGCATCACCGTGTTGCCGGACAACACCTTTACCTTCCTCAATAATCTCACCAATTTAGAGTTGTCGCAAAATCCACTGGTAACAACCAATCTGAAAGAGGTCTTTCTGCATACGCCACGTTTGCGTCGTCTGAAAATACGTCGCATGGGTCTCTATGTGCTACCACAACTCAGTCTACCATATCTGTCACATCTCGATGTCAGCGGCAATTATCTGCAAGAGCTCTCCTCACTGCACGAGATGCGTCAGCTGCGTCACGTGAATGTCTCACATAATAAAATCGTTAACGCTAGCAGCGTTGCCGAACATCTACCGACATCGGTGCGTGTGCTCGATCTGGCGCACAACCCACTGCGGCGCATCACCGCGCACGACCTCGCCGCCTTGCGGCACCTCACCGATCTCAATCTGCTCGATGTGAAGGTCTTCAACCCAACAGTGTTCAGTAAACTACGTTCACTGCGCAAACTACATTTGACATCACATCAGAATTTGGGTGAGCTCGTGGCGCGCATACCGGGCCTACAGGAATTACGCATACATTGCGTAGAGACGAATATTGGTTCGCAGCTCTTCGCGAAGCTGCTGAACAATACCAAATTACAGCTGCTCGAGTTGTACGGCGGCAATGTGCAGACAATAGCGCCAGATGCGCTCGAGGGCTTGGCACGTAATCAACACTTGTTGGTGAAAATCTCACATACTAAAATTTCCGATTTGCCGCCGGGTATTTTTTATACGCTACGCGCCGTGCCACAGCTCTCCATCGACATATCCAATAACAAAATCAATGCGCTGGCGGCGGATAGCTTCTATCCGAACAAAACCTACTGGGATACCGTCGGCACACGCAGCATCATCGGCGGCTTGGACACATCCAACAATCCGCTCGAGTGTGAGTGTGGCCTGGTATGGTTCGGCCATTGGCTAAGGCGTTGGCTGCGCGAGTCAGCGCAAATTAAAGTGATACAGAAGGACGAGATGAAGCGTATGGTGCAGGTGAGTTCGCACTCCAGCTTAAGGAAACATTTTTGCTAATAATGCCTATCTAATTTTTCGAATTGTATGTGTCTTCTAATTTGCCTAATTTTTTTTGTGTTTCGTTACCATGCACGAAGTTACCGCTACCCGCACACGTTTTGCGCGTAAGCCTCTTTTCTTTTTATTTCTCTTACAATCTCTTTTTTGACACACTCTTCACACATTCTACTTCCATAATGTGCTTACATATTTTGTTCTTTCTTCTCTACTCTTATCACATGCAGCGTGCACGCTCGAATACGTGCCACGATCCGACTACTGGTCGTCGTCTGCCCATACTGGAGATATTTCCCGAAGATCTGCTGTGCCAAGCAAGCGCACTCAGCAGTTCGAGTGAACGTCTCTTTCTGCTTTCATTTGCGGCGATTGTCTTGCCGCTCTTCACAATGTCACTTTGATAATTGGAAGCATAGAATTGCTAATGTGTAAAGTATTAAGTTAAGAGTTGCCATATGAAACTAAATATATTATATGATAATATACTTTAAACTGGAATGGTTCTTGCTTTAACTGTTGAAAATGGGTGAAGTTTGAAAACTAAAATATTGTTAGCTTGACGAATATGTAAATTGCTGTAAATTTACTGAGGAAAAGTGTTAATTATATTATATAATGTAAGAAATGTAAATTTGATAGTTTTAAGTAAATAGTGTTGTATGTAAAATAAGTTTTAAGCCAAAGGTTCTGAGAAATAATCTTTAGTTACAGGATTTTTATGTTTGGTAGTGAAAAGATATGAGATACATGCAAATATGTGCTGACAAGTCAAAAAAGCATAAGTGGAGTTAGTAGAAATTAATATTTATAATTACTTGTTATTTTTAGTTCAAAGTATTTAAAATATTATTATTGCTGCTTAGTTTATTATCTTGATTCTAAATATCTAAAAAGCTTAGTTGATATAGAAACCAACAATTAGGTTTAGTTCCAAATTTATGCAACTCGACTTAAGCTTTTTTGTCTTGTCAGCGCCAGAAATTGGTTAAAAATATATGAATCCGTTAATAAAAATCGCATATATTATATAAAATAACTGCACAGCAGGTGGCAACTATAATTCCTGTTGATTCCTAAACTAGTTACTTTTTACTAACAACTAATTAATATAATAGATATATGCCATATATAAACTTGCAAAACTGGTTAAAATGACGTAATTAAACATTTATATATTTAGTAACGAGAATTTCAAGCGGGTCAATAGGTATTTTGTGAGAGTCATTAAGTTGCCAATCCCTGCTCGAGACTAATCTTTCTTTCTTTCTCTGAGACCCCTCAATTTTAGCAATAAAGTACAGTCTATGCCAGTGCACGGCATCTCATCGCACAATTGTGCTAGCTACGCTCTATTGTTGTCGATAGAGCGACAAATTACACTGCACATAGTCGTGCCGCTAAGCCAAATTTTCTTTGCGCGAAATTATTAATGAATAATAGTTATCTTTTTGGTGTTACGAATTACATTTTATTTTATTTATTATTTATACACTATAACGTTACGGTTCTTAGGGTCCAATATATTTATTTTAATGATAAATATAATTAGTAAAGGCGCAGAGAAATGCTTGCTTCACAAAATATTGAAAAATTTAAGTTTATATAATTGTCACTGGGTATCTTTACTCTCGAGTTCACCCACACAGGCGCTGTAGGCGAGAGAGTATTGGGTAGGGTAGTTTTATGAATGAGAGAGGTTAGGGAATTGTCAAGTGGTGAAAGAAATAATAACAGTGATTGTCAAATATGGGCCAACCTGAAGCAAAATTGTACTACGAACTATGCTGACTATTTTCAAATATTTTTATTTTATTTTTTATATGATACTCCTACGATACAAATTTGAAAACTGAGAAATGAAAATATACTTATGTATTTATAGCTGCCTTTTGTTCGCCACGCGTTACTCTTCAGCGAATCGAACAAACAACATAACATATGTTCAAACACACGGGCAACACTTGTGTTGCAATCCTGCTTCTGATGCATGTGTAGTAGTATTATGATTATTTCTTAATGGAGAAATTATTTTTTTCGCATTAAAAACGTTGCTATAACCATCTATTTTGGTTTTCTATAAATTATTATAATTGTTTTTAAGTTTTATTTTAAAAAATATAAGAAAAAAAATAAATTTATCATTTTATTTGCCATTTGAAGCATTCATAATAGTAAAAGTGGGTTAAAATATGCAAAAGAAAACTTGTCGGTATTGAAGACTGAAGTTATATCGCTTTAATGAGGTATCCGCAGGAGAGTATCTGCTTCATAACTTTTGCTTTCACATGTAATTTTTTTGACAAGAGAGCAGAGAAATTACCAATCGAAGACAGCTTACGTAAAACAAAATTTATACTCAAGCTTTTTTTTTCTCTCTATAAAGTTTTTAAGTTGAGAGTAATCATAGCTTTTTTTTTACTCATTATCGGTGTTAGTGAAATGCTTACAAGCGGAAAAGGTGAAGAAGAGGAAGAAGGGAAGTGAAATAGACAGCGAAATATTGTGAGAGATCGAGATATGTAGCTGGGAAGAAAAAAAAGGAGAGAGAATATAAAAATAGGGATAAAGAAAGAAACAGAAGGAAAGGCAAAAGGAGAGAGAGTATAAAAATATAGATATAAGGAAAAAGAGATGTAAAGAAATAGGTAGATCGATATTGTACTGACCAAAAGTTAAAAAATTAAATACTGAAAGTATATCTTTGCTGTAAATGCACTCATAAGTTATTGGTATACTTTTTTTTCAAAAAAATGTCGGTATTTTTTTTAATACAAATTTCCCTTAGTGAATGAGAAGTTTATTTCGTAATATTATTTTAACAAAAGCTGCATCCATGATAGTTTAAAAAATGCCTTTCTCGAAATAAATGCTATGTAAATTGTTTGTCTATTTAAATCTAAAAGAACTTACATACAAATTTAATTTGTATCCTCACTCTTTCAAGACAGAGTCGAACATACTTTGTATATTCCTATATTGTGGAATCAAAAAATTATGCCACAAGCGGCCTCCGCTCTTAAAGTTATCACCAATATACTATTACCGTGCGAAAATCTACACTGAAAGCTAATTTCGTTCCTTTGATGAGTAATATTTGCAAGAAATAGCGAGCGAATGCGTTGAGACAAGCGAATGATTAAATAAATGCAATTAAAATATTTAAAAAGCTATGAAAGCATTAGTAAACCACTTTTAACGACAAACCAATTTCCTACTTTAATAATAGATATGCATATAACAGACATATAAAAACGAAAATAATTAGATATAGTGTGTATAAAAATGTTATAAATTGGTAATAATAAATAATTAGCAATAGAAGTATGAAATAAAAATTAAAAATACAAAAAATTATTATATTGATGAAAAATGTAATAAAATATGATAACATATGCACTGTGCATTAACATAACTAAAAATATATAAATATATATATATTAAATATATAATTTATAATATATAATATAAATATATACACGCATAAATATGTAAATCTGTATATAACTACATAGGTAATGACACTTACACCCTCACAACTCTCCACACATGCTCACCAGTTACACTAAAGACTTTGCTAATTATGCTAATGAAAAATGAAGCCTAACGAAACAGTTAGACCTAGTGTAGTTGTAGTTTAGCGCAATAAAATATTTAATATAATATAAATACTGAGACTTTTTAGCAAAATGAAATGGTAGGCATTAAGAAAATATATAAGCACCAGTGTAATTGACTAAAATACGTGAATTTAAAATATTTTTAATACAAATTAATTTAGTGCATTACAATTTTAATTTAATTGAAAATAGTAAAAAATGTATTAATTATTTAATGACATTTTAATTTAATTCAAATTTAAAAAAATATATTAATTATATAACAAAAAAAAAAAAAAGAATAAAATAAGTACATATTAGCGAATACTAAATTTTTATATTGAGACCCATTTCTACTAGAGCAATATGCATAGTAGAAATTTATTAATTCTAATTAATTACAAAATTATAATTTTTTCTTTTATGAAATTACTTTTAATTAACTAAAAAATATATTGTATTTGGTGTTATTAAATTCATTTTTGTTGCTAAAATCAATTACTTGTTGGATGAAATTAAAAAATTTACAAAAATTGCATGAGATTTTTCTTTTGTGTCTTGTGAAAATTCAAGCATTTTAAGGACTTGCGAATTAAAAAATAACTTAAAAAAATATAATGAGCACAGCTGCGGTTGCTTCGTAAGTCATACTTTCCACGCTGATTAGTCTAGACTATGTGCTGGAAATTTTGATCTAACATTATATAACAGAATAAGGTTTAAGTAAGCGAAAGAAGTTTATAGCAAAATGTTGAAAGATTTGACAGTGAAGAAAGGACTATTAAAACAATTTTGAGAATATTTTTTTGTGAAACTTAGAAACCTTGCATTTTAATCACAATCTCGTTTATTATTACTAAAATTAATATTTTATAATATTTTTCCACTTTCATTTTCACTATTTTCGTTTAAAAAATGGACAATCGTGATACTAATTATAATTAACGATACAGCAAACTTTAAGCACTAAGCAGTGTAAATATGTTAATATGCATGTATATACTAAATATTAATAACTATTATATATGTAGATAAAATTATGTGAGAGGAAAATTATTAAACACTTTATTAGAAAAAGGCTTACACATAACAATAAATAATAAATAATATAACAATTAATAATTTTAGTATTAATATTAAGCTGCAATTAAGCTATAAATGAAGTAAAAATTAAATGAAAAAATATATGAGAATATAGCACATTAAACGAAAATACATATATATAAAAGTATGGAGAAACTAAAAAATTTTAAATAAAAGAAATATTATATACAGAAATCAACCGATTTGTCTGATTTTTCGTTAGAAAGTCATACAAAATTTTGCTGCTAAATATAACTAAAAAGCAGTTGCAACATAAAAGTCATACAAAAAGAAAATAAAAATGCGAAACTACAAACAATTATTGATAGCAGTTGCAACAACTACATAAAAAAAATGCTGAAAACGAACGAAATTTATGTAAAAACTAATTTTAACGACAAACGAAACGCAACTCGTTACATGAACTGATGCATTTATTAAAACAACAAGAACAGTACCAACAATAGCATTATATAATATATTATTACGTTGAAAAAAAAAAACTGCAGAAAAAATTAACTTTTCGTAGTGCATATAAATTAAGTAAACAACACACGTGTTTATATGAAAATAATTAAAGTTGTAAAGGGCGTATGCGTAACTTTTGTATAGAATTGTTTTAAAGCCAACGAAGGGGAGCGGAGAATACATACTATACTCATTTAAATTTTGCTGTACTGAAATGTTTTAGAAAATATCATAATTTTTTTCAAAATTTAGCAAAAAACTGAATAAAAAAAATTTTTATTGAAATTTTTTTTCAAAAATGGAAAAATTGAAAACAAATTTTACACTGTAATCAATGCAATCATCAATTAATAATTATTTTTCGAAAATTAATTTTTAAATATGTATTCGAAAATTTATGTTTTCACACTACACTAAATATTTAACTTTATTATTGTTTTTACAAATATTTTAAAATTCTTAAGCAATTACATTTTATTTATTTTTTTTTTTAACTGATCAGAAATTCTTTTTATATGATGATAAATTTTTAAATATTTTTTCGCGTATTTTGTGGTTTGTGAACTACCTTATTTATGATGTTAAAAAAATTATTTTAAAACAAATTTCCAATATTTCAAAATGTGTGCAAAAAATTTTTTGTTTTTACTTTTTATACAAACATAAATTACTAAAAAAATTTTGAAAATTAATTTTTAAATATTTATTTGAAATTTTATGCATTGTAAATTAGATTGCTTTCTTCGAATTAAAAAAAATTTATATTTTAATTTTTTTCAAAAAACTTTTTTCAATTTCAAGTTTTTTTCTCCAAAAGTTTAAGAATATACACATAAACAAACATTTTTTTTTATTATTTTTGAAAGAATTATAAATTCTTATATTTTTCGAAAATTAATTTTTAAATACTTGTTTTCCAATTTATGTTATGCAAATTAAATATTTTTTGTCTTAAATTAAAAACAACTACTAATTCTTATATATTTTTTTAAAACCCTATTTCAAATTTTAAATTTTAGCCAAAAATGTAGGGCAATATAAAACTTAATTATAATAAATTTTTTTTTTGAAATTATTGCCAAACTTTATTTTAATATAAAGTGAAGTAAAAAAAAAGTATTTAAAAATTTTAGTTTTTTTTTTCAAATATTTAAAGTGTTATTCAAAAAATGTATTACTTTTATTTTTTTTACAATCATAAAGACCTATATTTTTTTGCAAAAATGGATTTTTGTATACAAATATTATTTCTTTTAAATGCAAAATGTTTTTCCAAAAATATAAGGAAATATAAAATTTAAGTTTTTTTAAACTTCAACAATTTTGAAACTATCTCTCGAACAATTTTTGTACTGAAATTTAAAATTTTTTGCCACAACAATAATTAATTTTAAATATATATCACCTTTAGTATTCGATAGCTATTTATCGCTTTTTTCACAAGGAAAATAATATTATTCGTTCATTTAATAAAATTAATTTCAAAAAAATTTCTGATAATGAAAAAAGAGCAAACATATAATAACGTTACTAAAAACAAAAAAAAAAGCCAAGCGCAGTTTAAATTATCACACCAATGTAAAAATTAGGAAAGGTAAAACTGAAAAAATTATAATTAATGCGAAAACAGTAGAAAGAAACACAAACACACATAAGCAAATCATACATACTATTAAACATTACAAACAAAACGGGGACAAGCGACATGCAGTTCAACACAACTGTTTTTACATAGCAACATATGTATGTATGTGTCACAAATACTCACATACATTTGTAAGCATAAATGCTGTCGGCGTTGTATTGAAAATGTCACGAATTTTTAAGCGTAAAATAAATACCTAGTTGTAAAAATAAGTGAAAATAACTGAAACTAAATAAAAGGCAAAGAAATATGAATGAAAAATAAAACAACAACAAATACTTATAAAATATAAACTGTCATGAGTTTTCAATGAAGGATTGTAGAGTGTGAAGGTCAACGCTTGGGTGTTTAGAGCTTTGCGCAAGTAAGTGAGTGAGTAGGACGAAGAGGTTTTGAACTGCAGAAGGTTAAACATAACCTTTTTTGTAAATTTTTGTTCTCGGTGACCTGTCTTCTTAAGTCATATTTATATTTGTCTTAGATAAAGCAAATTAAGTTGCTTTACCGTAGCTTAATTACTCTTAACTAAACATTAGTTTACTGTATATTTTATCAAATATAATTTAACTTTATTGTCAACTAATCAAACTTGACTTAGCTTAACTTAACTTTACTTGTTCACTTTACTTTACTCTACATTACTTTACTTTACTTAACTTTACTTAACTTAACTTTACTTAACTTAACTTTACTTAACTTAACTTAACTTAACTCTTTTTGTTCTTAGTGACCTGGCTTCTTAAGTGAAATTTATATTTGTCTTAGATTAGCTAGCTTAATTACTCTTAACTAAGCATTAGTTTACTGTATAATTTAACTTTATTGTCAACTAATCTAACTTGACTCAACTTAACTTAACTTAACTTAATTTTACTTAACTTTACTTCACATTACTTTACTTAACTTAACTAAACTTTACTTAACTTAACTTTACTTAAATCAACTTAACTTTACTTAACTGAAGCCAACTTAACTCAACTAAACTTTATGTAATTCATCTAAAAAATTATTTTAATTTAACTTGATTTGAATAAAATTACCATAACTTGGCTTAATTTTATGCTAACTTAATACTTAACATAACTGATCTCTAAATAATTAATAAAATTCCGTGCTAGCTTACAGAAACCTCACAAACAATACTTAACCTAACCAATCTAAACTTAACTTAACCTAACTTAAATAATCCCAACTTAATTTAACTGGTCTATAAATAACTTAACAAATCTTACCTAAACTAACTTCACTTACTTGACTTAACTTAAATTAATTTATATGGTTCAAATAACTTTTAAAAATGTGTGCTCGTACAAACCATAACTTTACTTAACTTAACGAACCGCCAAATAACTACGCTTCAACTAACTTAAGCATCTTACAATTATATGCTACTTTACATAAGGCTTACTGCAAGAATATGACTCATCCATTACCGGATATCTGAAATAACACTTTATCTATTCAACACTCTAAAAACTTACTATGTAAAGTTTATTTTCTTTACGCTTCATAGAACGCAGAAATTTAAAATTGCAAAAAGTCGCATTCAACAAAATTTAAGCGAAACCGCCAAATGCTTACTACAAAACTAGTTAAATATTTTTATGTACCTTCATTCCTTTAAATTTCTTTCTTTTCAGACCAAGAAATTTTTATAGATTTTCTTTTCTACCACATTTTCACTGTTTATTTCCACCTCAAGGCATATACGAGCCACACATATACATTTCAGATAGCTGTAGCATAGTTGCCGGCGCACAAGTAAGTCATAAAAATAGTTCGCTCAGCGCCAAAAACTAAAGACACAATAAAAAGACTAAAAATATCAGTGAAACCAAAAACGTTATTATATACACGATTCGTATATGGCTATGTACTTATAAGGTTGAAAATATGTCATGCGACACGAAAATATCCTTTTCAACATGCGCTACTTGTGCGCCGCGTCAACTGCACCTTTGACTCGACCATGTACGCCCTGAGCCTTTTTACCTGCTTTGCTGCACTTTTGCATAGTGCAAAACGGCAAAAGCATGAAAACAGCAACAAAATATAAGAAAATAAACGCGTATGTATAAAAATAGAGAACAAAGTGTCAATGCTAAAGTATAACGGTAACGGCATATACACGGCTGCGACCATGCTGACCCGGCACGTATTGTGCTCTGCGCAATACCTATATGTGTGAGTAAGGCATATGTGGTTTCTCGTATTTTTTCTATATTTTTCTTACCTTGAACTAGTCAGTTGCGGCGGCTGCGTGAATATGTTTCATTTTTTTTTTACTATTTTTCCTACATTTGTGCTTTTCTTCTTAAGTTGGTGTGCTTGTGTGTGCCACTTTTTGCAGCATGTACGAGTATACATTTCACCCCACGTCTGATTAGCATGTCGTTCAAAAAGTAGTTCGACGTACTTGCTTCTACTTCGTACTTAAAGCACAAGGCATACTTTTCAGCAAAAACACTCATACACACTCACACGAACCATAAGACACAACTACTGTCTCTTAGCATACTTTTAAGCGCATAAAAAGGTAAGGAAATATACTTAGGATCCACTTACAGCGCTGGTAATGAGTACGACTCCGCTTTGAGTTGCTTAACAACTTGTTAATTTTTTATTTTTTTTCTGCTCTTTGTGGCCACCTTTCTCTCATCGACAAATACAAATGAGCTGCAAATGAGCGCCGAAAAAGCTGTAAGGAAATAGCGGTAATAAGCGTGCCACAATCGGCAATGAGTAAACGATAGTGCTGAACAAAAGAGCAAACACAAAAGCCACTTATGAGTATAAACCACATATGGATATGTACACATACAAACACACATACAGTTAAAGGTATTGTGTTATTAATATTTTTGTCACGGCAAGGGTCAACAAATGCTTTTTGGGGTCACCAAAAGTAAATAAGCGATTTGTATTAAGTCATAATAGCTTTGTGCTTACCCACCACCGCGACGTATGAGTAACCCTTCGATGGAAGGAAATATGATTCACTTTGCTTCTCTTGTAATCGGCTTCTTTTATCCTTAATAGCCTGTTTAGTAATATGAATAGGCGGCATATTAGTTAGCTGATACAAATGTTGTAGTTTTTGTACGGCTTATGCTGCCAAACACCTTTATTTTGTTGTACTTTTTTTAGTAATCCCAAAATCAGCATGCATTGTTGTGGTTTCTTTAAAATTTCGTTGAATGCGTAGCTGTTATGTGGATATATCATTTTGGCTGTGAAATGAAAATGATGCCTTATAAGATTAAATGACTTTTGCTTTAGGGTCACTTTGACCTGTTTAGGGTCTTATCGAATTTCGTTTCAGACTTTGCTATCCCCAACTTGTCTTAAAATTTCTGAAAAATATATAAACTATTCAAGCAGCAATTAGAGTATTCTTAAGGAGCTCTATGTGTATCTAGTTCAACAGCTGTCGCCTAAACACTTCTTTGACTTTAAATTCTCGCTCTCTTTACATGTCAATTCATCTGACGATTAAACTTAATATCAGTTTCCTTCTCTCTAACTGGTTTGGGTGTCCTTGTGGAGCATTCAGTGCTTAACATTATTGTCTCTTGGAGTACTAAGCTACTATTCAATCGTTTTTTCACACACCATATTGCTGCCAAAACATACAAGCAGGGTAAAAGCCTATCTACCTTTGTCCAAATTTAGATTAACTTCAATATGTGG